ATGGTCGTGTCATATACTCAAGTGGGGTGTGGGGGTCTTGCCATATACTCAAGGCAGGGTGTGGGGTGTCTCATCATATACTTGGGGGGGGGTGTTCCTTGCCATATACTCAAAGGGTGTGTGTTTGTGTATGTGTGGGGGGGGGGGGGGGGGGGGTCCTTGCCATACACTCAAAGGGTGTGTGTTTGTGTGTGTGTGTGGGGGGGGGTCACTTAAACAGGTTGAAGACCACTGGTTTACAAGTAACAAAAACAAATCAACACAAACAAATGACAGTAATTTATTCAAACAGTAATGGTATCCACAGCTGACGTATGTGGAGTTCAGGCAGAGCCTCTGATCTCACCTGATTTGTTCAGTGAGTTCTGTAGACACATTAACTTGGGACACATCAGCCAGCATAACAGAGGTGCTGACTGCACTGAGGGAACCACCGTCACCGTCTCGGAATCGAACCCCATACAATGCACTATCTCCATCCATGGTAAAGATGAGAACAGTTCCATCTGGGCTCCAGCAACCAGCCTGAGTATGAGAGAAAACAGCTGAGTGACAAAGCTCTTGAGTACAAACAATGGCTATAGTACAAAAATATTATTTAAATGTAACTATAACTGGTTAATTCTTAAGAAAGAAGACGGGGGCTTTTAAAGTGAAATGCTTTAGAAAGATTCTCAGAATACCACGGACAAAGAAGAGAAGAAAAACATATTTTAAAAGATGTGAACATCAAGGAAGATTGGCTAATAAACACCATCTAGCCTCGGAAGCTGAAATATTTTGGTTAAATCAAGAGCCATGGGGGACTGGAAAAATAATAGCAGGAAGGAGGAGCAGGGGTCAACCAATATGAAAATGGGCATAGGATATAAGTGACTCCTTGAATATGAAAGTATATGAGGCGGGAGAACTGGTGAGAGACTGAGTTTCTTTCAGGCAGGCCGTGATGGGGGCGATGTTCTTTAAAGGGCCAGCTACATGATGATGATGACTGGTTAATAATTAGTGTAAAGACACTGAAGAAGTATGGGAATACATCTGCATATTACAAGAGCATACGACAACTGGAAAGATTCATGGAAAGAAAGAGAGTGATGGAAGATGCTAGTCAGCAAGGTACCTGATGATGATGATGATAAGCCTATTACAACTCTGGAGTCAAGTCACCCTGGTGACTGAGTACCAGAATTTTAAGAAAGTAAATGCAGCTAATTTAATCCTGACACATGACACTTCCGTTTTCAACATGGCGACATTCAGCTGTGTCACAATCAGTGGCTGTGATATTTCCTTCAGATCATTGTGTACTCTTTTGATGGACTGATATGTTAGGCACATTCCCGATGCAGGATACATAGTTTTGATTGTGGGAGTAGCATATATTGTGGCTGTGCTTTGTAGAGGTGGAATGAGGACAGATAGAGACTGCAGGCTTCACCAGCGTGCTGGTTCATAATTCTTTGATTTGTGTTGGGCTGCTAACCAAGAAGAACGAACAAACAAAACATTATTTTTTAAGGGTCACAAACTGAGCACACAGGCCCATCTTACATTCAACCGTTCTAGACATTCATCTTTCATACATCAATTGTATTTTCATGAATGAAGCACTTTATCAAATCAGCAGGGGACTACAACTGTCTAAAGAGCAAATGCAAAAAAAAAGCTGACCCATAAAGGGAATGTGTCAACCAATTTTTAGTAGGAATGGAATCAACACAAGCAGATAACTCAATGGTGTTTGCCAGGCCCTATAACATTTGGTGTAATAAGAAGTAACATGACAACACACTGGACAGTTGGTAAAAGAGTAATAACAATGTCTTGAAAGAAACTAACCCATGAAGAGAACTGACCGCCCTCATCAGAAAGGGAAAATCTATATTCTTTGATCATGTCATGGGAAGGAGAAAACTGGAGTGCATCACAGAAGGAAAGTGAAGGGGAAGTGATGGAGGCCAAGAAAGAAGATGCTGGACAGTCTGGCTTCATGGCATGGAGGATCATCTGTTTCAGAGCTGACTGAAAGTACGTGAGACAGAAGGCCTCTACAGTACTCATTAAAACCAACTAAGAGTACCTCTAACATGTACTACTGTGGATAGACATGACTACCATACCACACAGCATGGACTTTAAGAAAAAGAAACATAATACCCCAAAAAATATCTTACAGCATTTAAATCATGTTTACATTTTATTCAGAATATACAAGACAAAAAAACACTGCAATAATGAACTCTTTCACCCTCAAGCAGTTACTTCTTTCATGCCTTTTGTCTTATTGCTCTGAGTTTAAAATCAACAAACACTTAAATCTGAAGGAGAGTAATAAATACATACTGCAACAGATGTAGTGAAACTAACAATTCAGCCACAAATGGTTAATGTAAAATCTGTTAACATCCCATTATCTTTAGAATAGGCAAGAAATGTATGGTGAGTTGGTCTGGTACTGAGAAGGTTCATATAAGATCATTCTTCTTTTCTCTTTATTCTCTAGCTTTTTTTTTTTTTTTTTTTTTAGTCTTCAGCTTTCCGACAGAGCACTGATTCTCAATTCATCCGAGATTGCAGCTAAAGTTTTTTTTTTTTTTGGGGATGAGGTGGCCAGAAACACTGGCCATTGTTCATTATTTTCCAATGACAAACATGGCAGCCAACAGTGTTACTATGACTTACTTTCCGCAAGGACCCCAGCAACACGAGAACAACTAAACCCTTTCACCCCAGGTTTTCCATTTTTTTTTTTTTTAAAGGCCGAAACCGGTGAAAAACCCCTGAAAACCTTTTCAAAAAAGCAACAACGTGATGCAGTTTATTAAAAAAGAAATTATATTATTTATTTATCTTCATTTTAAAAAAAATGAATTATATTAAGGGAATAATCAATAAACACAGTTTGATGTTTGAAATTGGAACAACAGGTCAACATCATGGCACACAGGTAGTAACCCATAAGTGCTACATTCTTTTTCTAACTCAAGTTTGAAGAAGCTCTGCACAATGCACAGGCTCTGTAGCAATGACAGGATCCTGAAATACTTTAGGTTGATTGCAAACTCCAAATTTGTTAGGCTACTCTTTTCGATTTCCAACTGCCAGAGGATTTTTTTTGTACTTGCGCAACAATGCACACAGGCGTCCGACCTCACTACCCAGAGACCAGGGGGAATTACTAGCAGTCCAAGTCCACATGAAAGCCCTTACCGGGGATTGAACCCAGAACCTTTAGAACTCGAGGTGGACACCATGCCTTGAGACCACACAGCCCTTATTAAACACAGAGTGAAGCATTAAATGAAATACACTCCCTGGGTCCTACAAAAATGAACTAGGGGACTCATACAATGACATTGTTGGAGTTCTAGCACTAACAATATGGACAAATGATAACGTCAAAATGGCTTTTAAAAATCATTTTGTTCCCAAGAAAACTTTTCTAGCAAATTAACTGAGCCTTCTAAACAATGCACAAACATAACCTAACACTCTTAACTAGGCTTTTCGAAGACAGAACATAGCAGAAGTGCTGGGCAAGCAGCAATAACGGGAATGGGGCATAGGCGGAAATGCTAGACATGTGGCATCTTTTGGTGACAGGGTTAAGCAGATAATTTTTAACATCTCTGATCACAAAACACAGATGGACATACTGTGCATCTGCCTGTCAGCTGAGACCAAATTTCTGAATGCCAGTTTTTGGTTTCCCAAACCCTGCAAAAAAATAAGGAAAAAAAAAACATACTGAAACAAAAGAGGAAGAGTGCATTCTTTAACAGTAATTCTAGCAAAAAGCAATCAGAACACTAAACTTATGTGTATGTGTAAATAAACTACTCCTTCAGACTTTGACTGTGTTCACCCTTAGAAGACGGTTGTCACGCTGCGTTATTGTTTACAGCTAGGCTGCAATATCTGTGCCTTTCGGTCCAACATATCCAATTTCAACTGATCCTTAATTAGTCAGAACCACCCTGGTGTAGCAGTTAAACACTCACCTGCGGATATAAAGGTCCTGGGTTCACATCCGAATGGAGCCGGACCTTTTTCAAAAATGACATTGGCTCTGAGGTTGACCCAGGGTTAAATAGTTCCAAGTAAGGTCCTGGGAAGTAAAGGTGGCCAGCACGATGCTGATCAGATCACCAATCAAGCCCTGACAGGTCCAAAAAATATAGGTCTTCCACTGTATTTGAAGCGCAGTGGATCTGGGTTTCATTTTTACCTTCCAGCCTCCCCCCCCAACATGAGGTTCCAGAAGCCACATGAGGAAATCTTTCAAACTAATCTTGCTTCCAAACCTGCATCCATCCAAATGAGACAGCCCACCCGTACTACTTACATCCAACTAATAGTGCCTTTTTCTTCTTCCTTTAACATTGATCACTTTCAGCTAGGTCAGAAACTATTGCTGCTCTCTTTCCTGTTCACTGTATTAGTGGTGACGTTTGTGGTCCTCATCTCATTTGGTTTTGAATTGTGCTTTACTAAGAGTATCTCTGACATGTACTATTTATAGCGCCCAGACACTGAATGTCAATATGACCTAGACATTGGCTGTCCACATGTCTACAGAAAATGAATATCAAGACAGTGAACATCAACATGCCCCAGATACTGAGTGGTTACCTGCCTAAAGACATTAAATATCAACATGCTCCAGACTCTAAATGTCCTTATGCTCCCAGACACTGACTCTCAATATACCCTCACACACTGAATGTTAAAATGCCCCCCATGTCAACATGCTCCCAGACACTGTCAAAACGCCCCCAGACACTGACTGTCAACATTCCCCCAGACACTGACTGTCAATATGCCCCCGGATACTGACTGTCAACATGCCCCCAGATACTGACTGTCAGCCTTTCCAACTACAATTAGCTACTCTATAGTAGTACAACAGTTACACCACAGGGTCAGGAAATTATGACCTAAATGTAAGTATGTAACAGGCTCAGCAGTTCTAAATATGACTAGGAACAGAAACAGTGTACCTGAAGAGGGGTGACAATGTGGATGTGAATAATTTTGACCCATCTGTGGAATATGACAGAAGTGAAACTCCACCTCCCCGGTCTCTTCGTAAAGCTACACTAGTCTCCCTTGGCACATCCCACACCTGCAAGATAAATAAGACTGGCTTGACGTTAGCTCTTCTACATGTGAAAATGTAAATCAGTTCCCGGGCACAAATTTTACACAGAACCCTGGGGATCATCACCGGAGCTACAAAGTCTGTGCTTTGTTTGACACTCTCAGCAAGCAGCTAGCCATTCTGTAGAGAGTGACAGAGCCATATGGTATACAACCTAGTGTCTCTGTATGGGTTCCAGGGCTCCATTTAGGGGGGAAAAAGAATAGACCAAATGCCTTCATGAAAGGAATGTCTTAGGAGGGGACCAGTTAGAGGTGTTTCTTTCGAAATCAGAATGCGTCTGCCTGAGATGCATAAAATGATTTTAAGAAAGAAAGCCACACCAAAAAAAACACACACTGAGTATGCAGTAATAGACAAATAAATACTTAACATGTGCATACTGGAGGGAAAGATTGAAGGCGAGAGAGCAAGAGGTAGGTAAAATGGATGTGCAGGTAACAACTCAAGTTCTGCAACAAGACAAAAGTCAAGCTGCAAATAACTAGAACTTTCTGCCGAAGGTTACAGCTGGTGAATGCTGAGATAAGAAGAAGAAAACCTGGTGCAATGAAATCAATCCTCTCAAATTTAACTTTATAAGAGAATGTACAGCTAACCAACCCACCATGATTGAGGCATGTCTGGGTGAGGCAGAAATCAAATGATCCCCATCAGGGCTCCATGCAAGGCTAGTGACAGGTGAACAACCTCCGCAGTGAAGAATCTGAACTGTGCTTGAGGAAGGCCTGTGATGACGTAAACATATTTGTTTATTTAGTGTTACAGTTCAATGAATATATACTGCAGTGATCTTCATTGTTATTAATTGCTGGCTCGAATGAGTCACTGCATCTCTCCATTCACCGACTGACAAGAACGAGAAAACATGGACGCTGGCAGACGTTCAGAAGTTACACGTACTGTTTATTTTCACTCGCTGTTGTTGCAGTCAGTAAATGTCTATATACAACAATATCACTCATCAATGCTCTAAACAGTCAATCATACCTTTGTAACATCGTCGAATACACACACAATTTAAAGAAAAACACAGTAGCTCCCTCCATCCAGAACGACAGTCATTCACAGCTGGCCACCGTTTCCGTCAGCCGCTATTTTATGCCAGGTAGGCATTGGGAAATCACGCTATTCAGACGTCAACATTCTTCCGAACTTTCCACATGTACACCTTTCCCTTGGCCTAAACGAGACTCCTCACAAACCTTTTCTTCGCTATTATATAGCCCTCTGATCTGTCCTGTTCTCGAATATTCTGGATAATTTCATTCTCACGAATTGTCGTGTCTGGCCCGTGATAATTCACATTTTCATGAATCCTGCCAGTCAACCTTCATGGTTTCACGTGAACAATCATGTTTCACATAAAACCTGACTTTCAGATGTCTCTCATGAAACTCAAGACATAAATCTCGTGTTATCTCAGTCAGTCAAACATTCGCCTTACATTTATTACTGACGTTATCTATCGGGCATAACTTAATGGGGAGAAAATGACTCACTACATTCTCCCCCACCCCAAAAAAATGTTTTACATTTTCAATCAATCAGGTGTGAACATTTCACTGAACATTGTGATTCTAGACCTCTGTAGTGAATCATTTTCGACAAGTTCATTTCCAACCAAGTTCCCTTTTCCTCATTAGGTTAACAATTCAAACACTCTAAAATGCCATCTGTTGGGTCTTTACACGACTGTGAATACCTTAATGGGATCCTCACCCCAGGCACTCCCCTTTTAGTGCGGAAGACCAATAATCTGGCTCCATAGGTATCCCCACCCAGTTCTAAAGTTGGTATACAACCGAACCCCTCTCCTGGCACCCCCCGATCGGTGCGGAAGTCCAAAATCTTGGCTCTAAAACCGAAGTGTGACCCCATGAAGTCCCACCCTCGCTATTCCCATTCATGAAAGCCCTCAACAATGGCTAAATCAGCAATGTATGGTTTTGTTCCCAAATATGTAAGGTACAAGATGTAGTTAATTACCTTGTCTTCAGAAACTACAACATGTCTCATTAACACATATATTCAAATTAAATGCTACACCAATTCAATTTAGTATACTAGTAAATGTAACATTTTCTGGTGAGGTGTATTTTAACACTGAATGTTGTCTCTCTTTAATTTTGATTGTTTACTATATTATACCCATTCAGATCAAAACATATATATTTTTCAAGTTGTAAATTCATATAATACATTCATACAATAATACAATGCATACCCTTGCATAAGATGATTTCAGTTAATACAAGTTGTAATAGCAGTTGTAACATGTTCTACAATTGTGACATGATATCTGGTAAATGATTGTCTGTTCCTTTGATGTGTTCAATGTTAAATTTGAATTGTGATATCAACAATGCCCATCTATATACCCTTGGATTGCTATTGGCATCAATTGTTAATAATTTTGTCAACCCCAAGTTATCTGTTAAAATAGTGAATTCTTTTCCCAAAAAGAAACTTCTGAAACTTTTTAGACTAATAACTAGTGCCAATGCTTCTCGTTCAAATGTATTGTATTTTTGTTGAGTTTGGTTAAGTTTCTGTGACATATACATTACTGGGAGTAATGTTTGTGAATGTTTCTGCGCAAGCATACTAGCTATTGTGTGACCGCTGGCATCTGATTGTAGAAAAAATCTTTTGGAAGGGTCAGGTTGTCTCAAAATAGGATATTTTGAAAAACAGTTTTTTATTTTAACTAGAATTTCCTCATGTGTCTCATTCCAATCTGATTTTTTCAATTGTTGATTCTTTAATAACTCTGATAGTGGTGATGTTAGTGCTGATCTTGAGGTTCTGTAGACTTGTCATACTGTAGTTTTCCTATTAAATGGTTTGCCACGGCTGAAAATGTAGAGCTGCGACACAAATACCCAGTGTCAGAGCTGTGGTTCTTTTTGATTTCCGTACAGTTAACACTCTACCCGGTGTTTCACTGTCTTTCTATGTTTTGAAAAACAGATCTGAAAAACAGGATCTGGTGTCGACGCTTCTCTGTGTTGTTCAGTGTAGATTTCCCACTACACTTTACCACACTTTAGTCGGCAGCGAAATTTGATCAAACAACAAGGCTTTGGAAGTTTTGCAGAGGGGCAGCCCTAGTCTCACATCATCTCTGTGTAGACTTACGGTTGTATTCCTTTGCTACAATTAATGAATGCTCTTTGACACCGTCACTGTCTGCAATCTTTCCTTCGCATCTTAGTTGATTGTTGATTACTTGGTCGAAACTTAAAACGTGGACTTGTCTATCAGTATTCAAAGCCTGGAATTTGTCCGAACGTTGTTCAATCTGTGAACTATCGAATATGGGTTGTTGTTATGTCGCCATCGATCTTCCCCGCTTACGTTCGTATGTTGAACTGGTACTACCTGACGTCATCTATCGGGCATAACTTAATGGGGAGAAAATGACTCACTACATATACCATATTTTCTGTGTATAAAACACTCCTTTGTATAAGACCGCCCCTAATTTTTTACCCACAAATTAAGAAATAAATATTTAAAAACCATTCCATGTACAAGACAACCCAAAATTTTAAACTTGAAACAACAAAAATACAGAGAAAACATAATGTCCTATACATGGAAAAATACCTTAAGTGTTGGGGAAAGTTTTAAATTACCTTTTCTGTTCTACTCTGGGGTGTAGAGGTATCTAAGTCTTATTATTCAGTTTAGTTAACTAATTGACTGATTGGATTTACATATCATTTTCAATCAGATTGCTACTGGTACCATCAGTATCAGTACCCTGTGTTGTCCCTGAAGATGAGGACAGAGGGCTTATGGGAACATATCACATGCTAGGATGTCACTTCTTAACTCAACTGCATTAGATTGTGAACTATGCTAGCCATACATGCTCTGATCTTCTCCTACTTCAATCAACATCATCATCACCATCAATTTCCACTTCTGCCATTAAGCTTTGTGGTGAGGAACAGTTTGCCATCCATTACTTGATGGGAAGCAATGGCTACTGTCATACCGTGTCCATGTAAAAGCTCTTTAATGTCATCAATCTATATCCTCCTAGGTTGGCCTCTTGTTTTAACTTCAGATCTGTGTAACGCCTGCTTCAATTACACTAGGAAAATTCCAGATCAGTGCACTACACATTGCCCACACTTGAATCTCAATGTGGTTATGGACTGAGTATGGTGGATATATTTTATTAATACTCTAAGGACGCTTTTTGTCAAGGCAGCTGCTTTTTAGTTCTTCATTCAGTGACAAAGGCAAAAATGGTGAGGCAGTACAATTAAACATGCTTGACTAATCACTTTCAAAGAATGTTTTCATTTTTTTTTAAATTAATTTGTTCATATAATAAGTCACTGAATTTTTTGCTGTGCCTGTTTTGCCAAATGCCAGTGAATCTAAGAATGTGAACAAACAAATAAGGAAAGTTTGGGAGGCAGCAACAGTTATATCATTTCGGACACAAATGTTACAAAAACATTACATTGCCTTAGCAACTAACAATGAATGTCTTATGAAAGTAGAACATTAATGCATATGCAGCTGAAAGTAACAAAAAGTATATTGTGGTCACTAAAAGTGATGAAAAACAATCAGTAACATCCTGGCTGGAAGGATTAGCGGTAGAAGAAGCAGAGGCAGCCGGAAAGAAATAAAGTTTGATGGCTCAAAACTGTAGCTTAGAGGAATATCATTAAAAGAGTCCACAACACCATGGACATATCTGTGGAAAAACATGAATGTCCAAGCCACTTAGCAAGGTGTGTGAAGGTGATATTATTACTATCTGAAGTCACAAACAATTTACTACAGAGTTTTATGTTTAATGAGAACATATTGTAAAAGTTGGCTAATTAGGGGTGTTTTCTTCAAAGTCAGAGTGCCAAGCCTGAGAGACAAAGAACCAACAGTCTGCATACAATTAAGCCAGATCTATCAAATGGATGTGTATGCAAAACTCAAGTTCTGGGACAAGACTAAAGTGCAGAAGACTTAGACAAACAACCAGAACTTTCTGAAACAGTTTACAGCCAGGGAACACAAAGAGGAATAAGATTTTTAAAAAGTAAGACTGGCTACTTAAATGCACAGAAAACTGAAACGGAAGAAAAAAAAAAGCAATCACTAACAAGTCCACGAATGTTCAGTTTGAGTAGGCTAAGGGTTAAAGTTTCATGGTGAAATGAAAGGCTGATGAAACAGCATAACACACACAGAGAAGCCAGTGAAGCATTCACTACAAATAACTACCATTGACTTTACCTACCTTATTCTTAATCCTTTGAGAAAATAAGTTTCTCTGTGGATTTGTTATGCTTCGCTAAGTAGATATTGCAGGACCCAAATAGATGGTGTGTGATATTAACAACTTACCGGCGAGTGACTACTTACCTTACAGCCAATGATGTGGGCTCAACATGCCAAATAAGAATGCAGTACTGGCATGCCACAGCCAGAACAGATGCTGACAAAGGCCTAAAACAAATGAAAACAAATAATAAACATTCAACATGTTATTTGGCATCATGAAAACTTCTGAAAGAAAAACAATCTTTACACAGGCTACCACCTGACAAAACTTTTAATTCTGTGCTAAAATTTACAAAATGAGGACAATTTGGTTTTTACTGAATTTAAAGTAATGAGAGCTAATAGACTGAAATGGTCGGGGCAGGTTAAGAGAATGTCAAATGACAAAAGTGAAAACTGTTTTCACAAGGGAGATGAATTGTCGTAGACCATGAGGCAGACCAAGAAGGCGATGGAAAGATAATGTCCACACAGACCTGCAAACACCTGGTGTCACCAACTGGAAAGAGAAGACCAGCCAGAGAGATGAATGGAGGCGGGTGATATCTGCAGCAATTAACCTCAAGGGCTCAGAATGCTGAAGAAGAAAAGTATAAAAAAATTTAAAGAGGCTCTTTCTATTGTTAATTTTTCTTCTTCATTTATCATCCAATGGAGCACCCCTTAAGCAACACAATGTGAAGTTCTTCGTAGAGTTGTTGACTTGGCTGAAATGTGTACTTAAAGTTGTCTTAGTGATGATTTAGCCAGTCTCACATTTACATCCTCAGTCACTTTTTAACAGAACGCATGGCAGGTTACAGTGTAACTATCTCTGCTTCCATTATACAGGGTACCCCTAAAGTCTGGACACACAGGAAAACTGGTGGCAATGTGGATTTATTGCACTGACTTCACATGAATTTTTGCAAAGTGCATCATGAATGCTGGAAATAATGTTGAAGATATGTTTAATTTTCAAGTTGAATAAACTGTTTGTTAATAAATTTGATTTCTTGAAAATATGTATTTCTGCTTATGTGTCCAACCAAAAGTGGTACCAGGATCTGTTCTGGGAGGTAAACGTAGCAGCTATGATGGTGAATACATTACCATTCAAGTGCTGTTTAGTCTATAAAAAAATATAGGGTTTCCTTTTCTTCTGCATTCACCCTTCAAAGGATGGCTGGTATGTTGTGTTGTGGTTTACAGTTAGGCTGCAATATCTGTATTTTTTGGCCCAACACATCCAATTTCATCATCATCATCATCAAGTAACATACCAACTTGCATTAGCAAACATGCCTCTCCACAATCTTATAGTTTCAAAAGCATAAATCTGTTCATGTGCTGACACCCTTCCATGCCATGACAAAAGGTTGTCAAGAATCTTCTCACATTGTCTTCCTCCGTTTCTTTTTTTTTCACATATCTTTCTAGAGGTCACAAGATGTTCCCATTTCCCTCTTCTCACAATATGACCAAAAAAAAAAAAAGGGTTGTCTTTTTCTGATGACTGTGATAAGTTGTCTTCGAGCTCTCACCTCTTTGAAAACCAAGTTTTTTGTCAAATCCTTAATAAGTCGCCTTGTGCAACATACTAGTTAAAGGGCAGTGTGTCTATTCTTCTTTCCCCCCAAAATTTGGCCAGAGTAATGATATGCTGTAAAATATGCCAAGAAACAGAAATGGGCCCCCTGCGTATTTAGAAACACATCAGCTAAAGACAACACAGGAACTTACTGCCAAGCAAGGTCGATGACATGTTTCTGTAGTTTGTGTTTCAGCGTGGGACACAGAGAGCTGCCTGAGCTGTAAACAACCACAGAATCATCTTTCAAGGCCACTGCAAGTTTGGTGACATGGGGATGCCAGGCCAAGACTTGGACGGGACTTCTGCTCCTGTCAATAAATGTTTTATTTGTGTCAACAAATGTTGTCAAAGGATGGTATGTGAGGTTGACATCCGTTAGTGTTATCAGACAAATTACAAAAATTACTGTTTTAAATTAACTATTTCAGATATAAACCACTATTTCAACTGAACAATTGCACCGACAAACCATCTTTAAATAAACTACATAAATGACCACCCCAACTGATAATCAGATATAAACCACTTTCAACTAAATAAGTGCAAATTTAAACAAGTTTCAATTGAAAAATTGCAGATACAAACAACTACTGAAACTAAAATATTGTAAGATTAAACCACTGATGGTCTTGAGCTTTATGGATTTAGGGCCACAGGCTTTTAACACTGCCAGGAGAATGTGCAGGATGGGATTGAATTATTGCCCCCAACAGAAAAAAAATCCATCACCTTAATGAGGATTCAAACCTGTTTCTCATGAATAAGAGCTAAGCTTTCTTATCCACTCTGACAGCTGCTCCTTTTAGGTGCCAAATCTAACCAATTATACACAAGTATAATATGTTTCAATTCACTGCAATAGGTACAGCACCTTTTTATCCATATTTACTGGACCATATACCTGGTTGTTCCCTCAGGGATGCAATTTTTTTGTTATTTGAAGCCCCACCCTGGCTTTTGCCGGGGGCCCTGAATATAGCCGGGCCATAAATATGGTTTAGGAGTCGCCGTGGCAGAGTGGCTAGACGTGTGCCACAGATCAGAAGGTTGTGGGTTCGCTCCCTGACGTAGCCGGACTTTTCTTTAAAAATGACCTTGGCTCCCAGGTCAACCCAGCCTTGAGTGGGTACCGGGTGCAGTCCCGGGGAAGTAGAGGCGGCCGGCGTGATGCGGACCTTATCATCCATCTTGTGCTGTTGGTCTATAAAATATAGGTCTAGCCCTACATGCCCTATACACCTAAAGGGGTGGAAAAGGGTCCTTTACTTTACTTACTTTATAAATATGGCCTAGCCATAGATATGGCCTAAATTACTGAAAGGGGTTTCTGAGACCTCTCCACGGGTAATCCTCATCCGCATTGTGGCACTTTGTGTCACCAGATGTTTATCGCTTGTGTGATGTCCTGGTGGGGTACAACTACCTACCTACCAACTGGACCATATTTATATGACTGTTGCACAATCAAGTTCTACAACTAGTAAACTCAAAAAGAGAATGTACATACCAGTTGGAGACATGAGTGTATTTGGTCAGCAGGTCATCATTTGACATCTGCAAGAGAAATATCAAGGCAAGGTTCATTCTTTGGCAGACACAGTCAAGGGGAAAATCTGCACATATTAACTGACTCACAAAAAGACAGGGGATGATTGTCTCCCTTGCATACCGTCTTCCTTTCTGCTTCACTGTATCACACAATTTCGCAAAGGCCATAAACTAACCCATGATAAGCATGCATATCATTTACCGTTGTCTGTAGCTTCGTTCTCTTCTCCATGTGTTTATTTCTTTGCCCTGAGGATTCCAGAGAAGAACTTTCGGCTCTCCTTTAAATACAGATCGTTAGCTGGAAAAGCCACCGATCGCTTAGTGGGAGTTCTCTCCCTTACCTGCATTGCAAACACGGACCGTACAGAGGGAACGAAACAAATGACATACTTACCTATCATCCTACGGTTGCATGTACGGTTGCGTAGTCATCATACGGTTGCGTAGGGTGTAGGCTTTGGGTTAGGGTTAGGGATAGGGTTAGCGGCGTTAGGGGTAGGGTTAGGGTTACGGATAGGGTTAGGGGTAGGGTTAGATGTTAGGGTTAGGGTTAGGATTAGGGTTAGGGTTAGGATTAGGGGTAGGGTTAGGGGTAGGGGTTAGAGATGTGACAATTTTGACGTAGAAGTTCCAAATACTGGCCGACAATGTGATGCTTGTGGGAGTGGCGCCACTGGAATTCTCCTAAACATGATGGCAATAGCGCGCGGCTGGTACCCAAGTGATGGCGAATTGTCCGTTTGAGTAGCATCCACAGTCCTTCAATTGTTTGGGTGTGTATGTCACTGTGCGCGATTATTTGGAACTCCTGCGTCAAAATTGTCACATCTAACCATAACCCTACCCCTACCCCTACCCCTAACCATGCAAATTTATCGGTCATTAAGTCATACAGATCTGCAGGAGTCACATTTGTGGCAACTAATACCACTTTTATATAAGGATATATTTACTTTAGAAAAAACTGCAGATTTCCCCGAAGCATCAAATAAACACCCAGATCTGGGGGAAACACCCAAGCATTGGCAGCCCTGTTGTCGACCTCACTGTCTTTTTTTATTCGTGACTTTTCCGCTCCGTGTTTGGACTGCAACCAAGAGAGAGAACTCCCACTAAGCGATCGGCGGCTTTCCAGCTAACGATCTGTATTTAAAGGAGAGCCGAACTTTCTATTTATACTATTAAAAGTTAAATTAATGTCTCTCATATAAATTACACGATCTGAACACTGAGGGAAAACTGGAGCATAAACAACATCCTCTCCCACAAGGTCCAGTATTTTCGCCATGTTAAACTTCATGGTGGCCTGGAGAGAACTGTGATGGAGGAGTCAGTTTCTAACAAATGAAGCAGAGGCTGATCTGTAAGGTCTAAACAATACACTAAAGATGCACTGGCTATGAAGGCACATAAGGCAGGAGTATTAGCTAGAAAAAGAGTGACAAAAGACAGCAATGTTCCATAAAGGACCTGCTGACTGATGATGATGATGATGATATGTCCTATCCAGTACCAGCAGCTTTTACATAACTCTTCATAAGCTGTCAACTTCCTCATAGAAAATTCATATCTGGCTATTTTCTTTATATTATCAACTCTATCATAAAACAAAATAATGACAACCTTATATGTCTGCAGCCAACTTTAATGATTCGCTGTCTCATAAGATTACTAGTTCTTGATCAAGCCTGAGTTCTTGTCTTTAATATGCCATTTGGACAGACTTTTCATCATTTATCTCCACAATCAATCATCTGTAATTAAGACTTAGGTATCACTGAAAATGTTTATTATTACCTCTGATGTAGGAATGAATAACAATGTGCAAGGAGTGAGACTGAAAGGGAACAATGTCAGACAGGCCTGTGTGCCCAATGCTTAACCCTTTAAAAATAAAGTTTGTTTGTTCTTTCATTTATTCTCTTTGACTTCATTTTGCTCTGCTCCCATCATATTTATGAGTTATTATCCTCCTACTCATGAAATGTATATAAAACACTACATTCTAATTTCTATAATCAGTTTACAGGTGTCATCTGTGTTTTTGTACTGTTTTTTTTCAACAGACTGCCTACTTAATTTGTTGTCCATCTAAGCTATTCTTCGAATTTTCATAAGAAACCAATTTTTGTTTAGGGCATTCTTTTTTTCTTCACCAGCATTATTGTAATACACTCTTTATAGTGCATACCGTCACCTTTTTTCACCCTGCGGTGACTGCCGACATCTTGTTTATTTTTTTAAAGAAAAAAGCCCTGACTTTTACTTTTTTTTTTTAAACTGACTGCATTTTATGAGTGGGGTACGAGTCTGTCGCGTGCGGATGTGCACCAGAACACACCAGTACTGAGTGAGCACATAAGACGTCAAAACAATACGTCAGGTTGTGAAGGAATTGTATTCTAGGAGATGAAAGTCGAAGTTTGACCAAGGCGGACGTTTGGTCCGGCCTTGGTGTGGATCCTTGAGGATGCTTTACCCCGGGATGCCACTTAAGGAATGATAATCAAGTTGGATCCTTGAGGATGCTTTACCCCGGGATGCCACGGAAGCAGACGTTGTATACAGTTGGATCCTTGAGGACGTTTTACCCCGGGACTCCACTGTAGACCTCAGCAGAAAGCTGGTATATTGTCATAGTTCGGCAGTAAGCCAGTATACTTTCATTACTTAATTCAGACTGCGGAACCCAAGACAGAGATGACTGTCTAGATCTCAAGGTCGGACTGCGACCCGTCGTGAGGACATATCAGTCCATGGATGTACGAGCGGGCTTTTGTTGATGTGCTTGAATGAGTCTGGATTATTAATTGCATATTTTCTCCTTGTGTTGATCATTGCTATTTGTCAATACACAAATGGAACTTTTAAAGAGAGTTCTCGTTCCGCTACGTTTAGAAGCTTCAGCATTCATCATGTTGTGTTACTCTTGGCCAGTGGCATATTAAGTTGTTGATGCCACTTGTTACATTGCGACGCCCTTAGTCACCTTTGGTACGCCGCACATCACCACACAGCCTTTACAGCACGTCACACCGTAGGCCCAAGCTTACGCTCGTCACAGAGTCCCATTCACAAAAAGCTATGTTTGCCATGGGAATTCTTGTTATAATGTCTACACGCCATTTTCCATCATATGTACTCACCTATGTTGATCTATCTGTATGTTTTCAGAATAACAAAGACCAGTGACTGAAAACAACAGAACATTATCGAAGCAACTTACAGATTTTTGTGGGAACACTGAAATGCGAAATGATTTCAACTTCTGCACAACTGATAAGGCTGCTCTGCTTGGCGTGGAGAGCCAGAAGGGAACTGTGAAGAACAAATATGTGAAAAATGCAGTTTAAAATGCTTGGAAACATTGTACAACACTTCTTAAAAAGGGAGGGTGGCACATTGTATTGTGGTTTACAGCTAAGCTATGATATCTCGAAATTTGGGCCCAACACATCCAGTTTCAGCCAACCCTCATTAGTTGCCATTACCGCATGCTCATTAGAGGGGCAGTAGGTTTATTCTGTTTTCCAACAGAGGGCCAGGGAACGAACTCTCTTGGGGAATTGTACCCACACACAAAAATATGACTTGTGAAAGCTGAGTGTATGACAACCGCAGATCCCCAAACATCCAAACGCTTGGTGATTGACGTTTCACTAGTTTATTATCAAATAAGAGTCTACCACCCTTAAGTAACATTAGCCATGCACTCAGAATTGATAAGATAAGACTCCCCCATCAAGCACTAAAGTGTGGACACCTGAAGGGAACAGAAAACGGGGAAGATCAAGACAGACTCTGTGTAGAACCATCATCAGGGAGGGCTCAACCATGGACCTAACAAACATCCAAGACTTAAAACAGGTGGTAACGAACCGACAGACATGGAGAGCTATGACTTCTGCCCTATGCACTGCCCTAGGCTCAAGAGGAAAGACTAACTAGCTAACTAACCCTTATGTGCCACTGCTGTAAAAGTATCCTTTCCTATACTTTTTACATTGGCATATTGATTATTCAGCTCATTTATGAAGACAGTGGTTCAAACTCTATCAGGGGAAGGATTATTATTCTGATCAGTATTACAGCAACTACAACAAAAAAATAGAAGAAGATTACTGGCTGGGGCATACAAAGAGAATTGCAGATAACAGAGCCACAAAAACTGCAACACCAACAAAGGGAGTAGACCACTAGGCAGATCAAGAAGAGGAAATATAATAAATATATAAATATATATGTGGAGATATAATAAAAAGGATGACCTAAAAACACGCAATAATTACCAGATTTCAGAAGTGTGTGGGAATTGTTTAGAAAGGACAGTGGTGAAGAAGGGATTATTGTTACCCTATGCCATGGATTAGAATATATGACAGTCTAGCCCAATAGTGAGAGTAGATTTTTTTTTAGATTATATTTTTTTGTAAGACTATTTATTTTAGTTGATATATTTATTGATCGGATAAGCTGTAAGGTTGACAGAATCTGTCCGTCAATATTCTTCTTCTTGTGACTGTTCCCTGGCTGTAAACTACAGCAGAAATTTATGGTTGTTCGTCTACTTCTGGTCTTGGGTATTGTTCCAGAACTTACATTCTGCAAGCACTTACGTTTTCTGGCTTATCTGTATGTCGACTGTTGTTTCTTTGCCTCTCTGGCAGATACATTCCAACTTTGAAGCAAACACACCTCGTTAGTCACCTTTTAGGACATGCTTGTTTGGGGTTAGGAGGTCTATTCTTTTTGGTTTTTTCTTCACAATAATGAGGCCCCTGACTTAAACAGGAAAACCAACATTTATTTGCATGTAAAATAAATACCATAGGCAGTGTACCTCCCCACCGACACAGGATAGCAGGTTACTTTATAACCACAGAGTTCCCTAAATTATCTGTCTGATCGGATGAAGAGGTGCTGAACCAAATAAAGTAGTGCATCAGGGCTGGAACTCATTCTGGTTAACCCCTATTTACACTTCTCTATTGTTATCCTGGAAACAGGTTCCCACCTAGGGGTCTGGCCAACATAGACAGTATCGACATTTCCTTTGAAGTTGGAGTGCATCTGCCAGAGATATCAGGAACCAACAGTCTGCACACAAATAAGCCAGATCTGTAATACGAATGTGAGTGCAAAACTAAAATCCTTGAACAATACAAAGTCCAGAAGCGGATGAACAACCAGACCTTTCTGCTGGGGTTTACGGCCAATGAATCTCAGAAAGATGATTTTTTTGTGGTTTTTTTTTTTGTGGGGGGGGGGGGGGGGGGGGGTTAATACGGCCAAACAATACATCTGGGATTTGTTTCTGGTTGGACTGTCACTTGAGAAAAAGTTGTTTAAGTCATTTGTCAAATGATCAGACTGCAGTCTCAGAAGGGGAAGCCTTTTTTATCATCATCAATCAGCAGGTCCTGTACAGAAAGTCGTTCTCATCACAGCATGCCTCAAACTAACTCTTTCTCTAGCCAATTCTCCAGCCCTATGTGCTTTCACAGTCAATGCATCTTCAATGACTTGTAACCACCTTCGTTGAGGTTGGCCTCTGCCCCATTTGCCGGACAATACTCTCCATCACCGATCTCTCCAGGCCACGATGGCATTTAACATGGCTAAAATATCTCGGGACAGGAAGATGTTTAGAAGCCATTTCTATTTATATTCTTCTTAGTCTATATACCCTGTTTTTGGGTATATAAGACCCTCCCTTGTATAAGACGCACCAGTTTGTAAGTACTAGGTTAATGGTAAATCTCTGACGCTAACATGACTGCATAACTGTGAAGCTGAGCTTAGTGAAAAACATCTATGCCGTATTCGAGGTAAAGACAGGAGATACTAAAACCAACTTCTAATGGGAACAATCAGTAGAAGTACCTTGGACTGGCTGCTGCATCAGAGGACTGAGCGCTCATGGAGATGCCTAATGTGCAAAGACATCGACTGTGATAGCATAACAAGGCAATTATATCTATTGTAAAATGTGGTAATTAAATACTATGACACATCATGCACATGATAGTAGACTCATATTTTATAGACTAATCGCCACTAGGCAGGTGATGCTGTCAATATCCCCCACCTGCTGCTTTTACTTCCCAGGACATACCTAGTACCTATTTTAGGCTGGTTCAACATGGCAGCCACGGTTAAGTCTGCCTCCATGCAGATTTGAAGCTAAGACATTTTGGTCGACAGGTGAGTGTTGAACACAACCCTATCATAGTGAGATTAGTCAAATATAACTGGTTATATTTATTGACACTAAGTACACAATTACCTTCCTCCTTTGCATTTGATAATTCCTCCAGCATATTGACAATACCACCACTGTACCTGTAAATAGTAACATCGTAAATTATTTTATTTTTTTTAAAGACTGTGATATCTGCCAAGAGACACAAAGTTCTTTGGATCTGTTTTTAGTGATGACGCCCTACTGAACTATCTGGGAAGGCTAAGCCAGTCAACAAACTAGAAGTTAATTAGAAAAGCAAATGAACTCAGGTCTACTGTTAACAGACACAAAACAAATGCCTTAGTTCGTCAGACAGTCAGTCAGTCAAGATTCCAGCATCACCACAGATGGGTTGCCCCATAACCTCTCCGCTCCTGTGCCAGTGAAAATCCCACAAAATGCCCTTCACAGTCCCATTTGTAAACTAGTAGAAAAACTTGTCAGTCCCTGTAAAATCTTGAAGCTTTCACATGCAAAGTCAAAATGCAAGACTACTGCCTCATATGATTAATTGTGCTCTAGGCCCCCCTCCCCTTATGACAGGCAGTAGCAAGATGCTTGCTGACCTGAAGGTTTTGGCAGATTTTTCTTTCAAAATTGAACTTGGCTTCTAGATCAACCTAGAGCCTAAACATAGATATTAGTTAATGTCCAGGGAAGCAAAGGTGCTTGGAATCACCCACTGAGTGCTGATTGGTCTATACATAAAAGTCCAGCATCATATCTGATGCGCCTCTAGCCTACAACTGTGAATTTACTTGCACATGCCACTGGTTTCTAACCTTGCAGTGGGGAAAGAGAGCTGTGCAATACATTCACTAAACAGATGGCACTCTAATTCTGGGCCAGGACCAGCCTCACTTCAATAAGTCTTTTGCAGGAATTAAAGACAACATGACCACCAATGTATTGAACATAAGAGAGAACACCCGGTCTTCCAGAAGGTTCACATCTAAACAAACACCAAAATTATACATACAGGTTCTAGGATCCCACTGGGGAGGGAGGATGGGGGGGATACACCCATGCCTTCACTCCAACCCCCCCCCCCCCCCCAAACCCCCCCCCCCCCCCCCCCCCCCCCCCGCAAGCATGTCGAAAAAGGTGACTAAATAGGGGATTGCTAAAAATAGATGCGGTAAGCCAAACAGCACAGATATTATAGCCTAGCAGTAAACCCCAACACAATGTGCCAACTGCTCTTTTAGGGATGAATGTAGAAGAAAATGTAGAGCAAATCTGACTTACAACGATATAAGTAAGCTACATTAATCAAAGCTTGATTAAAATGTGCATCTGAAAAAAAAAAACGATTATAAATATACTGCAACATAATCCTCTATTATAGGTGTTCTCAATTTCTGTGATGTACATTCTTTTGTCTAATGTGTTCATAGGTACAACATAATGAGACCTAAAGATTCCCCTGGGATTTCCGCTGCCCTATTTTGAAGGGAAAACAGACCCACTGTCCGTCCCATAACAACCAGGTTGTAAAAGACAACTAAAAAAGTGTTGCTGAAATCAGATGTGTTGGGCAGAAAAACGCGCATATCCCAGCATAGATGTAAGCCATAATAAGACATGCCAATCGCCCGTTAACAGGTGAATGCAGAAGAAGAATAAGAAGACCTAAAGAGTATGCTTACCATGCATGTAGAGATCTTTTCCATGATGTCTGCTCGTGTGTTAAAAAAGCATTCTGAGCGCTGTCATAATGTGCATTCAGGCGACAACTTCTCTCACTCTGTATTGTAATCTCAGGATAATCTGGCAACTTAAGACAAATTATTATTATATAAATATGCCTTATATAAATGAGGGAGCTGCTGTGGTGTAGCGATTAGATGCTTGACTGTGCACCAGAAGGTTGTGGATTAAAATCCCCACCGAGTCAGATTTGTATCTGACAATTACCAAAGCTCCCAGGTAGAACCAACCTAAAATGGCTATCGAGTCAAGTCCTTGGAGGTAAAGCAGCCAGCAGGATGATTATCAATCACATCATCCATCCAGTGCCGTCTGGTGTAGTAAATATAGGTCTAGCACCATATACCCAACAGATCTGGGTGTGGAAAAGGGTCTGTTTTATACTTATACAATTGATGTTAACTGGCAACATCAGTAATATCTGAGCAGCTCGAGATCAGAATACTTGCAATATAATGGCTTGCCCATCACTTGAGAATGTGTCATTTAAGCAAACAATACAAAGGATCCATTCTTCTTTTTCTACATTTATGCCGCAATAGAGTATAAATACACAATCAACTTGTGCTAAATCATTTTATCTTTTGCCACTGCATGTTGCTCAACCCATCCTCCCCACTTGTTTCCTCTCATTCTCCATTCCACCTTGTTTTTTTTTCATTGGTCTGCCTTTAGTTCTTTGGCTCTATGACATCAGCATGTAAACATTAAGAGACTCACCAGATATACTATATGGAAGATGCAGGAGTGTGAGGGAATGAAAGAGTGGATAGTCTGATTACAAATGTGATAGATAAAGGAACACTTGCACTGGAAAAAGGAGACATTCTGAAGACCATTTATGGATGAATGCTGATAGAAGACATGAGGTTAGATGAAACAATAAGTGTAAAAATGAGTGATTGAGGAATCAGGTGTGGATTCGGCACGGAGGGACAAACGAGAGGATGAATAGGTGTGTGGATAATCAGTGTGCTTCGAACAGTCAGCATCTAGACCTTAGCTGTGGGAGATGGAGTCTCTATGACTACTCCCGGTGTGCTTTGATGTTGGTTCTAAAATAAGTAACCAGTAATCAGCGAACAGTAATGCTCTATGAGCTCCAGTGCAAGGACATTCTTGTTATTTTGTTATCAGGCTTTCTCAGTGTGTATCTATTCAAGTCTCCTATTCAATACCAGTCTCTTTTCCTCACCGTGATTCACTAGAATGTGTTCTTATTTCTCCCAAAACTACACCTGAGTGATTTTGTCATACTATTTAAGTCCCTCTGTTCTGCACAGGCACCAGTTAATGAATGTTTGTAGTTTATTAGCAATTGTTTTAGCCACTTTTAATAAATGGCCATGTTCTATATTAACTCTTCTGCCCCGTAAAAATCTTTGTAAATGGCCTTTCACAAGACCAGTTAAGAAGAAAAGCATCAATATAATTCTCAGAAACTTTACCATAAGGAAAAAGATGGTAAGAAGAAGCAGAAGAAAATTGCAGTACTGGTCAGTTGTTATAACTGCAGTACTGGTCAGTTTTTTTAACTGCAGTACTGGTCAGTTTTTATAACTGCAGTACTGGTCAGTTTTTATAACTGCAGTACTGGTCAGTTTTTATAACTGTAGTACTGGTCAGTTTTTATAACTGCAGTACTGGTCAGTTGTTATAACTGCAGTACTGGTCAGTTTTTTAACTGCAGTACTGGTCAGTTTTTATAACTGCAGTACTGGTCAATTTTTATAACTGCAGTACTGGTCGGCTTTTATAACTGCAGTACTGGTCAATTTTTATAACTGCAGTACTGGTCAGTTTTATAAAAATTCTAGTGGTTTAAACCGGTGACCACCAAACGGACAAGCAACCCTGCTAGTCAATGTGATATCGTGCTTAGCCCCCGCCTTCTCTTTACCCCCCCCCCCCCCCTTCCCCAATTACTTTTAAAAACAAAATTTAATTTTAATTTCTTTATACTGGTACAGCTTTACCTAAAGAGAAATAATAAATACAATGGAGCAGAGAATCAGCTTTACTTAGGCTGGAAAGAGTTTTTTATTTTGATACAACCACATGGAGCAAAAAGATGACTTTATGATGTCAAGATGATATCACAATTAAATGGTCAGTGTCACAGTCAGCACTGTGGTAGCTGTGAGTTAGTGATATATAGTTCAGGTGCTCCCTCACTGTGATAAAAAGGTCCAAGTGGTGCCAGATCTTGGATGTTTCCATGACAACTTATAACGGTCTTTAGTTTTGACAAAAGAGTTTGAGATGCACAGGTAATTTCTAGTGCAGAATTCCAATAGTCTTTGCCTGTTTTCATTCATTATGTTTTTCAACATAAATAAACATGCTGGTTAATACACTGTTGCTTTATTAATTATTAATTATGTTTTTCAAGGCAAACTGGTCATGAGTTTTGAGTCCGACCACACGTGAGCATTATAATCATTAAGTATGTAGATGCCATTAGATTTAGGAACTGCTTTCACTGCGTTATTGACTTCCTCATAAAACAAATATTTTGTATCCTCAGTCAATGTTAGTGTGGGTGCCTTTGCAGGAACAAAGATGATATTGCCAGGTAGACATTTGTAGGGATAATATTCTGTCCTATCCTCCACCTGGGCTCTCAACTTATCCCAACAATAAATTAATTCTGTTTACAAATCGCAACCCATACCTAAAGATTTGTTCCAGGCTTCTGCCTTTTCAAAAGAAGGTATTAATTATTATCTTCTCTAATTGGCCCATCCTCTGGGAGGCATGTGACATGTGCGGTCAGGGGATGTAGTACATGCTTACCAAGTATCTAGGGAATATTTTTCTCCACAGACATACACTATATTTTCCCATGTGGGTCCGGGGCCCCATTGTGGGGAGAAAAGATTAGATCCACTACCTCCCCATCAAAACTCCATGCTGGCCAACACACAAAAAGCAACTGTGCGGACCCACACAAATGGCCGACACAAGTCCATTCGAGAAAATGGCAAATACTTAAATACAACTGATGATCCACCACATTCACTAGAACGATTCCGAGCTCAAACAGAAATAAAACAGGCTAAAACTGTCACAAGTTCAGACTTACACATGACAATGGAACAGACTCCGGAGCATCTTTCAACTGACCCTCTTGTTCCAAAACAGTCAAGTGACTTCTTCGAGGTGGGGGAGGAAACTGCAGCAAAATGCTGGCCATTTTTTTATTTTCTTCTTTTCTCTCTGAGAATATCTGAAAGATGGAGGAAATTTTTAATTTATGGTATTACTTAATACACAAAAAATGCAGATAAAAGTATGGTAAATAGACAGACGGAGAAAGGAAGGAGAGAAATACAGCATGAGAAAGACAGAAGACAATACAAACATTGTCTAGCAAGTGAAAATGAATGCTCAGAGCAACCAGCTCTTCTCATTTTAAATAACCTTTTCAGATCAAGTCTGCCTATCCAGTTTATTCTTTTTCAAAACATGTTTTTTCAAAATTGTCTACAAATTTCTCTATAAATTTATTGCTTTCATCTACCTTGAGGTGGTCTGTTTGATTTGTGTTCTGCCATCCACTGTATTATTTGCATCTGTTTCCATTGCAATTAGATATTATAAAAAAACCTATCTACCTACTGCCCATGTTCCACATGCATAAAACAATACAGATTCTTTAAAACCTCTTATCTCTTTTTTAATGTTGGTACAAATAACTTTGGGGGAAGGGGGGAGGGTGAACATAAATCTTCTTATCTCTGCAAGATATCTTAAGTCAGATGTAATAAGTTACCCATGTGGGTTTCGGGGCCCTATTATAGGGAAAACAAGAATAGACCCACTGCCTACCCAAAAGCATGTCGTAAGAGTCGACTAATTGGGAGCTTCCTTCAAAGTCGGAGTGCATCTGCCTGAGAGGCAAGGAACCAGCAGTCTACTTACAAATGAGTCAGATCTGCAAAACGGATGCACACGCAACACTCGGGTTCTGGAACAGGTCTGTAGTCCAGAAGTGGATGAACAACCAGAACTTTCCGCCGGAGTTTACTGCTGGTAAACACGAGGAAGAAGAAGAAGATGTAATAAGTAATGACATTTTATTCTTCGTGTTCATGAATTATTAAGGCCGGCCAAAATGTCTGCCTGTTCATCCACTCTGGACTTTAGTCTTGTCTTAAAACTTAAGTTTTGCATTCACATCTGTTTTACAGAGTTGGCTTATTTATATGGAGACTGTCAGTTCCTCGCCTCTCAGGCAGATGCAATGTGGCTTCGGCCTATTTAGTCGCCTTGTACGACATGCTTGTTAGGGAGGCAGTGGGTCTATTCTCCCCCACCCCCAAATGGGGCCCCGAAACCCACATGGGGATGAGTAATTTCAGGATAGTTTTATAAATTCACTTGTTTAAAGTTAAATAAAACTAACAAATCAAACATGTTTTAATCAGCACTCAAAGAAAGAAGTAGAAAGATAGAAGGACACACTAAACAAGATAAAAATGTTAAGCCAGTGTCCATGTCCAGAATCAAACCTGTCACCTTCAAATGATGACTGCCTCACTGTAGAAACAATCCACTTGGCACCCCCCCCCCCCCCCACCCCCATCAAATGTGTCTATTGTACAGCCTGAATCTACAACATTGGAATTTGGACATAATTTGTTTCAAACCACTGAAATGACACCTGAGTTACATAAATTTATATTAACAAAGTATTAGAGACATAACTCACATAACAGACACAACAATTATAAACACATAATGCTGTGTCAAGAATACAAGAACATTTAAGGAAGAGATCTGTTTGGTCTGTTCCATTTTGTCGTACATAATACACAGAAAACAAAAATAAGATAGGGAACCCTAGGAGCCATAGAGATATCATATATAATATTTAAGTTAAGATATACTGATAGAGATATAAGATAGAGAGTTAAGACGTTTGCGTGAACCAAATGAGAACTGTGAATCTGCAAACATGGACAGACTGCAAGAACATGTTAAATGGGGTGTCGCCAAAAGAGAACACTATGCGGGTAGCCACAAAAGAAAAAGAAACCAACACAGAACTGGTGTCATTAGCAGCTACACGATGCTGGATTTACTGAGGGGATCCGAACACTTATGAACTGAGTGGTTCTACGTGCAATGAGGATAATCTGTCGACTAACTAACTAACCATTTAAGTTTAAGAATGTTTCCATTCACATAGATGTTACATAATGGTATTTCTTTGTTCTTCTATATGGTCATAAGCAGCGCTTTTGTCCTTAAATAAAGGTGCTGGCACTCACCACAAAGTGTCTAAAAGAGGTGCCAGTACTCACTGCAAAGTGTCTATTATAGCAGTGTTTAGAAAATGATCCCTAAAAAAAGCTGCTGGTACTGCTACCATTACATACAACTAGAAAAAACAGTCTTGGTCATAAAAAGTTTTCTTTCAATTTAATTACAAGGCCATATTAAACTAAACAAATTGGTATTTTCTAAAGAACCTGATTTAATTCCATGTAAACAACAGCTAATTAACTTTGACAGAAGCAAACTTGATTCTTCTAGTAGTTTTAGTTTGCTGTAGTAGACAAAAATGTACATGTGCTCACAGTCAGTGGGTGAGCAACTTTTAAAATCAAGACATGAACTACTCACTATATACGTCTGAGTACCTAATTATATTAACACACTTGCCAAAAACATTGTCAGAGACATTTTATGGCCAACCTTCAATGATGAAACTGAAAATTGTGAGTAATATTGTAAAGATGAAGTAATACGAGGGTGACCAATCTAGCCCGCAGACACGTATAAAGTGGCCTGCAGATCACTGCCAGTTGAACTGTACTGATGATCTTTCTATGCCGGGGCTCAGGCCGGTGACAGTTCCCATTTTCAGTTGAGCAGCCCTTGCCTAGCCCCTCAGTAAGTAGCAGCTTAAACTTAAAAGTTAAAGCTGTAGCTGATAAGGCGATAAGCAACTATTGCCACTAATCCATTAATATTGATTCAGATTATATTTAACTTCATGGATTTTTTATGGCACCTATTATAGGCATCAGTTTTTTTGGTACTTTGTAACAGACACTTCAGGGTGAGTACAGTCAAGGGCAATCTATAAGTGCTACTGTAGGTAGTGTAATAGTAACAGAGACTTTGTCAACTTTATGGAGAGGACCGGACCTTTTAAAACACGATTTTTTTAGACACTGTGCTAAGGGTACCTTATCAAAAACCTGCATTTCCTCTTCTTTATCAGTGTTAATCCGAAGATGTAAATGTGTTGTGTCCATTTAACATCTTTCGGCCGACGCATCCGACTTCTGCAGGCATTTGTTGACCACGGGTTGTAACAATATTACTAACATTGTTGCAACCCGTGGTCTGACTGACTGACTCTCTACCCCACCAGGACATCACACAAGCGATAAAAACCCGATGACACAAAGTGCCACCATGTGGATGAGGATCACCGTGAAAAGGTCCCAGAAACCGCGTTCAGACAATTGGCCACATTTGTGGCCTGCCTATATTGCGGCCCCTGGCAAAAGCCAGGTTGGGGCTTCAAAGAACAAAAAATTTCGTCCTAAAAAAAAGACGTAAGGATTAAACCCGTGGTCTACAAAAAAAATGCCTGCAGAAGTCTAGCGTTCCCGCTATGCCTGCATTTAAAATCATTACATGCATGTATTTTTATGAACTAATAAAACAAACAGAAACATGCAGCTTAATAGGTTTTCATGATAAGCTTACAAATTTATGAAGAAATTATAATACAATCACATGTAACTCAATTTTTTTTTTTAAATCTACAATTTTACAAATCAAATTTGTGTGTTATTTTAAATATTTCTGGAGTGATTTCCCTTGGAGCCAGTGTTGCCACTTTTTTTTGACAAAAAATATCCAAAACGATGTCAAAAAATATCTAAAAAGATCTAAATCTGCGTGGAAAAGATCTATAAAAAACATCCAAATTGAAAAAAGTCAAAAATTACATAGCTTTTGTTATGACTTACCTTACATAATCATGTCCTCATCTTCACTGATGTCTGCCTCACAAGATCCACAGAATAAAATTAGCTTAGATAATGAAGTTGAAGCTTCAGATCCAAAATGACCCTGGTATGCTTGAGCTGTTCAAATTTCTTTATAAGTGGAACATTAGGCTTATTTCTCTATACTCATCAGGCCGAATTTTAATGGCACGATAGCATTTAAGAGGTCAAATATCATCCTGTATTTTAGGTTAGATTTGATATAATTCCTAGCACCGAAAACTATTTCTACGTCAGCATTTGAGTGGGGTAGTATCATGGCAGACATGGCACTTTAAAGAGCTTACAGAATGGACTGTTTGATTGATGAGGCATCTATAAATTGTCTCACTTCACTCCAAAACGCTTTAGTTTCTGTTTTGTTTGTCCATTCAGCTAACTTTATTTTGGTTAACTGATATTCTGCTTCCGCGACACTACTATCAGTAGCCCCTAAAAATTTCATAACTTTACAATATTTAGGTATGTCCTTTATTGGCTGAAGTATGTTGCTCACAGAAAAAAGTGAAATATTTTTCAAAACATCTAGATTTTCAGGAAGTCTCTGCTTCAATAATAAGATAAGGAAATCTTGACAGCGTTTTCTTAAGTTGTTCTCTTCATTCTCTGTTAACAGTCCTTTTGTTTGTAAATCATCAATTTTTGTTTCGATTGTATATCCAAGGTGTGGCTTAGGAGCCAAATAGCTCTCTATAGTGCATGTGAGCAAATCAGCTTTAGAAGTTGGCAACACCAGTCTTTTACCGAGTGAAATAGCAAGGTGAGATCATCAAGTAATTTAACTTTATCAACAAGTTTAGATTCGAACAGTTTATTAACTTTTTGCACTTCCATTAGAATAGGTTATAAAAAGAGAATGAATGACAAATTTTTTTCATCACTGTACATTCCATACAGTATTTCAGTTGTGTAGCACTTTTCACTTTGTCTTGTTATTTCAAAAAGTGTCTTCAACTTCAGCCATTGCTTCATAATTCTTTCAACAGCTGGTTAAATTGATAACCATCTAGTTTTGCAATCTGACAGAATTTTCGGTGGTGTGGAACCATCATTCAAGGCTGTATATAATGTATTGTGTTGCTGTTGTCTGACAAATGATTTGGAAAACCAGTAAAGTGTTTCAGCAGTAAGGTATTCCAAATTCATTGGTAAATATTTAGAT